GTAGTGTTTATTAATTAATGATTTTCATCTGCTTTTCTGATACTAACCAAACTTATAATTTTGGGAGGGGGCATGAGCTTTTGTCTAAATGATCCCCTCCCAAATTATATATTAATATCTTTGTCAGAGTGGAATTCTTTGCACTTCTTTCAGAAAGGGTCTACAAGAGGAAAGTCATAAACAGGTTTGGATGTTGGTATGTTCTGCACAGATTAACCATTTTTTGAAATTTCTGTTTCTTGGTAAATTTTTAATTTGATTAACCAAATTTATTGTTTTTTAAGTGGGGTAAGGAATTGAGGCAATTCAAAATAAAACATTGTATATTAATAATAATTGTTGAATTTGGGTAATTGAAAGAAGATATTGCTTAGTATTTCTTAGTATAAGAAATTGTTTAATAGTAAAAGATGGTTTTGAGAGTAAAGCATAAATATACATTCATGGAAATTGTTGTATAAATAAATCAAAAGAAATTGGATTAACATTGTTGGCATATCATCATAAGTAAAATCTAGAGATTTGTGTGAGACATGGAATTTATTATTAAAAAATCAATAATAAATAAAAGTATTTTGTTTATTTTTGCATTCAAAAAAATAGATTATAACTGAAATCATCAATGATTTATCATTGATAAAAAAGGAAAGTATTAGTATGTATACTTTGTTGCACGGATTTTTCTGCACAATAAATTATTGGCTGCCAACACTGGTCACATGACGAAATTTAAATCCTAGAAATTGGGTTTCCAATACCAATTAAAATAATTAAAATTAAAATTTTTTTTTTTATAATAAATGTCATTTGCAAAAAATTTCATTCGACCCAAATTTACATTAACAACTAATACATTACCTCTTGAAATTTTAAAATTTCAAACTTTCAGTAATAAAAATTTTCAAAGAGGTTAAGTATCCCGATTAATAAAAAATTGACAAAAGCAATAATAAATTTAAAATTGTTTAATTGACAATTAAATTGTTGTAGGGGAACTTAGTAATAGTTTTATACAAAAAAGATGGGCAACAAAAAAAGCAGGTGGTTCAACACATAATGGACGTGATTCTGCCGGGAGAAGATTAGGAGTAAAGAAATTTGGTGGTAAGTTTCTATTATATATATTATATATATATATATAATATATTTGTTTATTAAAGATACTTGATGAAATTATATAAATAGATGAATATGTTGAAATTGGAAACATAATTGTAAGACAGAGAGGAACTCGATTTCATCCAGGAGAAAATGTAATGTTGATTGATTGATTGATTGATTGATTTGTTGGTGGAATGATTATAAATAATAATTATTTTCATATTTGTTATAAAGGTAAAATGTGGAAAAGATGATACATTATATGCGATACAATCAGGATTTGTACGATTTTATAGGGATCCCAAAAAACCAAAAAAAAGATTAGTAGGGATAGTTTTTGATCGTAATGATAAATTACCTAGATTACCGACTGAGCCAAGATCACGTAAATTTGAGTTTATTGATTTAGTGTCATATAGGAATGAGTTGAAATTATCAAGAGAAAAGGCGGCATCAAAAAAACTTGAAAATTAATAAAAATAACAAATGACATCTGATTACTGGCATATGCAACTAACATACTAAATTATGAGAATAATATAATGAAATTTATCTTTTAGCTTGACCATCTCATTGATTGCAAATTCCAATTTCTTTGATTCTTTAGTATTGATAGTGTTTCTACAAATATTTGCTAGTTATTTTTGTAAAATCACACGAGATTATAAATAGGTCAGTGATACAAGTATCTTTTAATTGGAAGAATTTAAGTTTGACAATTTTTAAATCTCAATAGATAATGCATATTTTCTTACCTGAGTTTTAATTTTACATGTGATTTTAACCAACAATCGTTCCATTTTAATTCTCAAGCCACCCAAGTATGTGTAACTTGGATGATTTTATAACAGTAAATAGCATTTCTAAAATTTTCAATTAAAATGGCTTCCACATTTATTACTGCTAATAACACACCTAGAAAACTTAATGTGAATTTACCAAGATATCCTTATAGATTGCTTGATGAAGTAACTAGGAGGGAAAAGGAAGCACTTGCACAAAAACATGAAGATGAAGAGGTGGAATATATATATATATAATTGCTTTTTATCATGTAATAAGATAAAACCTTTAAAGATACCAAATTTTATATTTTTGATATTTTTTAGGCTAGAAATAATAATAAACCAGATATGATTACAAAATTAGATATATTTAAAACAGACTCATTTTTGAATGATGATAAGGCCATCATTGTAAATTATCCATTTTTGAAGAACAGACATGAAGATGATGACGTCCTAAAACATTTTTTCAATGAGTGTAAAGATGTATTTATTGAATATATATATATATATATTTTTTTTTTTTTTTGATATTGGGGAATTTTTGGCGATAAATATTTTTCATGATTAGCAATCATAATAATAATAATATGCTAAATTTGTAATTTGTCTATTACTATACAAAATACTAAAATTATATAAAAGGGGTACGCAACTATTCCTCAAGTAGTCATTAATTCCCTTGAAAGAATGCTTGGAGATATTTCAGGACTTCCACGCACTGTTAATTTTTTATCATTACCACCACCACCACCATCATCGTCATCATCATCACCATCAAGTCAAAATTATGAGAATATAGAGATTGGTAATGGAACCCTAGAAAAAAAAGAAAGCGATAACAATCATAAAAATGATTCTGATATTATTCCTTATAACCTGAATGGATTTTCAAATAGTTCAAAAAAAATCATGAAATCAGATATCAAGAATATGAGCAAAGAAAAGGTGATTCTTATAATTTCACATAAAAATTAATTTGCTGTTTGTTATTTTACTCATTAATTATTAATTATTAATCACAATTCCTATTTTTCATTTCTTAGACAAATGCTGGCTTTGGACCAATTCATGGTGAAGCAAGGCAAAAAATTTTTGATAACCCAAACAATAATAAAGAATTTGACAAACTTGATAATATTTTATCACTACTTCAAGAATTACGGAATAATGACCATAACATCCATGAGATTATGACACAATCACAAACTTTTCAAAGACACATAGAAAAGTTAGAGTCAGAACTTAAACAAACAAATGCTCAATTGAACACTGAAACAAAAAAACATTCTGATGAAACACATAGTTTTAAATTAAAAGAAAGTCAACTTCGATCTGAGATAGCTGCACTAAAAAATGGTTCATTACAGCAAGAAAACAAAATTAATCTTGCACAAAGTCAATTGAAATCGCTTGAAAAACAAAATCAATCATTTATCCAAGAAAATGATAAACTGAAACAATCGGAAAGAAATCTGGAAATTAAAATTTGTAAGATTGATGCTGATTTGGCAAGCGCAAGAACAAAGATCTCTGAACTTGAGCATGAAAATCAACATAAGCTTGCCGAAAATGATAATTCATGGGAGAACAAAGAAAATTCTTTAAAATCAGAACTTTATGCAACTGAACGATCATTGAAAGAGCTCAAAGCATTTCAAGAACAATTAAAAGCTGGTGCATCAATTGATCAAATAATAAAGGATCGTCAAGGAGAGCTTGAAAAGCAGCTGAAAGATCTTACTGCAAAGAATCGTGAGTCGAAAAATTCAAATGAAGGATTAAAAATTCAAGAATCAACTCAGTCAAAAAGTAAAAATCTGGAGTTGGACAATATTCAATTACGTAGGAGGATTCAAGACCTTGAGAAAAGGTTGTCTGAAGTTCAATCAAGCAAAAATGCAGAAAATGAGTTAATCAATAAAGAACTCAGTGTTCTTCGAGCAGAAAACAGTCGTCTCAAGACTGAAACAAAAGAATCTTCAGAAATCCATAGAAAGAATCAAAGCCTCGAAGAACAAACTGCTGAACTTTCAAAGTTAAGACCTCATATTAAAAGTTTGGAAAAGCATGTTGCAGAACTCGAGAGAGTCTGCCAACACATGAGTGAATCAGAATCTCATGCTGTTGATCTACTTGAACGAAATAAAGACTTGGAGAATCAAGTAGCCGAGCTTAGTGTGCTCCGTAAACGTTTAAGAGATTCAGATAATCAAATAAATGAATTGCGTAGTATTCAAAAACGGATCACTGAGCTGGAAACTGTACAAACTGCATATGATAAGCAAAAGTTAGATTTTGACAAAATGCTTCAAGAAAACAAAGTTCTTAAGCAAGAGAATGTTTCCAAATCAGAAGAGCTGAAACAATATTATCAAAATATGATGACAGAGCTTGAACAGGCTAATTATGAAATATCCAATTTGAAATCACAAGTCCTTGAAATTGAAAAAGAAAATAAAAATTTGATGGCAGAAAAAAATCAATTGCAAAATTACGTAAATTCATCTCTTGACTTATCAAGACCATCAAACATGGATGATAACTATTCTGCTGCCACAATTACAAATTATGAAATTCGTGGAAGAGGAACATCTGAAATCCCTCACATGCAAGCAACAAATAATGATTGTTATTATTATAATAATAATCATAATGGTTTTAACAATAATGGCAATATTGGCATAAATCCTTCATCAACACAATATCAACAACAACAACCAAAACTATCCTATCAAATGAACCTACAATCTACTGAAAATCCAAATCCACAACCATTTATTCAAAATCAATCAACAGTTCAACCACAATTCTCTCAAAATCAAGATGAACCACAAACTCAATATATTCCGCAAATACAATCAGTGCAATCAGAATTACAAGCACAAGTGCATTATGATTCCAACTCTTTAACATCAACGAATCAATGCATGTCAACTTTTGATCAAACTCATTCAATTCAAACTAATCAATACAATCCTAATCCTTTGACATCAATGAGTCACTCTACACCAACCCTTGATCATCAGAATCAATCACTTCAAATTAATCAGTATCCTCATAATATTTATGTTCCTTTGACGTCAACCCTCGTTCACAATCAATCAATCCAATATCCTCACGCTGATCCTAATCCTTTAATGCCAATGAACCAATATACGCCAACCCTTGATCAAAATCAATCAATGCAAACTAATCCTTCAGTATCAATGAATCAACCTACATCAACTCATGATCAAAATCAATCAATTATTCAACCAATTCAATATCCTCATAATAATTATAACCTTATGAATCAATTTACACCAACCCAAAATCAAAATCAAAATTCTCACACTGATCCTAATCATCTATCCATGTTAACCCATGATCAAAACCAAACTAATCAATATTCTCACACTGACCCTAATTCTTTAACATCAATGAATCAATCCACATCAACATTTGATCAAAGTCAAAATCAATCTATTCAATCAAATCATTATTCCAACAAGCCAAAAAATTCTGCTACAGCAAATAACAGAAGTTACAAGAAAGGAAATCAAAATCATAATAACACAAGGAATTCAAGAAACCCCAATTTGAATAATAGATATCAAAAGCACAAAAAAGTAAATAACAGGACTGACCACCAAAGCATTCTCGATCAAAATCAAGCAAAAATAACAACAATAAATAAACAAAGTAATAATGACAACGACTCAAATCAAAATAAATCAACAATTGAAATTGAGCCTGAAGTAAAATTAACCACCAAATCTTGGTGGAAGAATGAAAAAGACAATTAAGTTTTTTTTTTTGTTTTTATTATTTTATTTATAAACAAAATTATTACTATATTGTTCTATTATCTTTTTCTTTTTCTGTTTTTTTTTTTTTCCTTTCATCTAATCAATCATAAACTACAAATAAAAAAATAAAAAAATAAAAAAATATTTATTAGATAAATTGACTAATTAATTAAACATGCAAACTTTTTTTTTTTTAAAAATATTTGTTACCATGAACAATTCCATAAAGTAAAGTCCAAAACAATACATATGAAAACAAGCCTCCGGATATTCCTTCGGTCCAAACATCAGCTCCGTTACGAAAATATAAATTGGGTTTTCCCTTTGTTTTCATAGACCATATTAGAAAAGATGAAAACAAAGATGCTATTGCATAAAATATAAAACCACTATAACTAGTCAAGCCAAGTATTCCAACTGCTGATCCTGTAATTGCTGACATTGACGAGCGAATAAAAGTTATGGTTTTCATATTATGAACTATATTTTCTGAAACATATAACGAAGCTTGATTTTGTGGAGATTGTTGATTAGACATTTTTGATATTATTTGATTTTTAACAATGCAATTATTAAAATTATTTAAGTTGGTTTCCTACTTTGTAGATCTTTTACAATTAGTATTAGTATTAAATCACACGAAACAGTTTTTCCGAAAAAAAAAAAAAAAAAACAAAAGCGAATTGATCGATATTTTTAAAAATAAAATCTTTGACCTTTTATTTGCTAAAATAGATAATAAATAAATAAAAGTAAGTGCTTAATTTTTTTTTTAATAGCCTGCTTATACTTTTTAACTTTTTAAAAATTTTAATTATTTAAAGAGTTCTTTTGAAAGTTACTTATATTGCCAAACTTTTCTTTAATAAGATGACTGATAATTGGGGATCTCCTCCTCCTGTTCAACAACAACAATTTTCCTGGAATAATGCACCCACCCAATCTCAACCACAACAAACACAACATTCGTTAACACCTTTACAACAACAACAACAACAACAACAACGACAACAACATTCTTCACTTCCACAACCTTCACAGCCTTCAATTAATCAAGGGCCAGGAGAAAAAAATATAATTGAAGTAAGTATAGCGATTATCTAAAAAAAAAAAAAAAAAGGCTCATACATTCAAAAAGTAAATGGCAATCAATCATGAAGTGTCTGTATATTAGAAATATTATTTGATTTTTTTTTTGATTTTGAGTAAATTAATAATTATATAAAGTATATATAAATCTATTTAGATAAACACTGATCCAAGTTACAAACAAATGCAAAGCAACAACACAATTGATTCCAAGTATGTCAACAACGTGTCTGCTGAATATATTACAGGTATATATATATATATTTATTTATTCGGCAATTCAAAATTCTTTAAAACAAATTTTTTTTTACCATTAAATAAACTATCATCTAGATTCTTTACCAATAGGACAAAACCCAACAAAAAAAGTATTTCATACTGTTGATATTCAAGATGAACTTGATCCCGTGGATTTAGCAATTCTTACACTTTTGCAACAAAAATATTCACTTACAATCATTTTTCCAAATAATAAAGCCATACCACCACCACCACCTGAATTAAAGCAATTAGTCGATTATTTTATTAATAGAAAGCAAAATAGACAAAATTCAAATTCACAAAGTTTTTCTAAAACTGATTTGGAAAAGTCGTCTTATACTCGTGATGTTGCTTTTACACCAGACAATAAAATTTCAAATATAACCAAACCTGATAATGGTAATGGTTATGATAATAATAACAATAATAATATAGTAGAAACAATTACTTTAACACAAGATGTAAATACACCTCAAGATTCTTTGATTAGTTTTGATGATAATACCAATGTCCATGAATTTACGCCTAGATCACAACAAACCAATAAATATAATGATGATGAAATTTTTGGTTTGGCTAAAAGACCTCCTATTATAAATACTATAAATAATCATACACCTGTCTCCGTCAATTCAAGTCATGATAAACCGTTGAAAGATTTAATATCGAATAACAATGTTCCTCAACAACTGGTTGTAAAAAGCCCAATAAATGATAATTATGTAACTCCATCAATAAATTCATCTTTTACTGTTGAACCACAAAAAGAAAACAATTATCCGGCAGAGACTGTCAGCAATCAAGGTTATTGGAATGAAAATGATTCAAATCAAGTGGATTGGACAGGGTCAATTGGACAAAAGGAAAATACAAATAGTTCTCTAAAAAAAGGAAGAATCGATTTTAATCCAATTTATCATGACCAGAGCAAAGGTTTGAAAAAATATATAATAATACATCTTTTTATTTATAATTATAATAGAAAATGTTTTAATGACTTCATTTTTTGCTTTTAAAAAAAGTGATTAATGATGAGTTCAGTGGCGTGACAAAACAAGATACTAATGACAAATTAGTGATTTGGTATGGTATTTTATATCAATTCAAAAATTTTTCCTAAAAATGAATTTTTTTATTTAACAATACGTATAAATTTATTTTTATTATTTATATAAAAAGTTATAAATGTAACATGTCAGGTCATCAAAGTTTGGAATGTCAGGAAAAACCTAACACAGAAATATTATGGAAGAATTTAATTAAAGCTGATACAGATAAAGATTTAGATATGATTAAGAAAATATTTGACGATTACACTAAAGCTGCACCAGATGAAACCTTTCAATCTATGGAGCGTAAATTCAGAGAATCAAAATGCAATGTGAGAATAATAGCTTTGGATCGAGGGGAAGTTCCTGCTGATAAAACTTTAGTTGATATTCAAGGTCATGTAGGTAAAAAATATTTTGCACATATAATGATTGGGCCACCAGCTTGTATTCCAATTGATTATGGACAAATAGCTCAAGGTGACGGAGAAAATAATTCATGGTTAGCCGATGCAGGCTTTTTGAAAGATAAAAATTCTATTGAAATGTGTATTACTTGTAATAAAAGCGGGCACAGCTCAAACAATTGTCCTAAAATAAAAAAGGAAAGCAATCAAGAATCATTTACATCATTATCATGCCAGAGTTGTGGTTCAACAGGACATACCACTAAATCTTGTAATAGAGGAGTGTATAACAAAGATAACAAAGATAACAAAGATGAGGATGATTACTACTACTCTAAATCTCAAGAACCTAAACTCAATAATTTTAATTTTAATAATAATAATAATAATAATAATAATAACAATGGCAAACTTTGCTATAAATGTGGTTCACCAAGTCATATTGCCCGCAATTGTAGTGATGACACGTCAAGATCTAATTCTGAAAGGTCTGAAAGGAGATATTCAAGAAGTAGTAATACTGGTAGTAGTGGTGTTAACAACAACAATAATAATATAGAAAAAGCAGCAACTACTTGGGGAGAAACTGCTAACTTGGATAATGTTGCGGTTTGGTGGAAATAAATAAATTTAAAAAAAAAATTTTTGGATTATATTAACTTAGAATTTATTAATTATTTGTAAAAAAAAAAAAAACAATGGTGTAAAGTTAAAAGAAATAGAATAATATATATGTATGTAAAGACTCAAATTTATTTTTTTAATATTATAATTATAATGTATATAAGAATTACGTTATTCAATATTGGTTATGTTGCCAAGTTTTGGAACTCTTTTGTTAATTCGATTTTTTTTTGAATAAAAGGTTAATTGGCGAACAAGTGTATTTGATATTTTTTGAGTTTGCACATTAAAGTTAACAATATTAACCTGAAATATAGATTTCTTTTAATTATTCAACCATCATATGAATTGTCTGGATGTTTAACATTAAGATTCATAACAGGATCGGTCTTGACCCTAAAAATAGTTTCTTAAAAAATTTATGATAATCAATAATCTAGATAGGCATTTATTTGTACCAATAATTCCTATTTCAGACATTCCTTTGATTACCGGTTGTTGATAATAAGAACTTGCAGTATTATTTTTTATTCCAGCAATTCCATGTTGCTCTAAAATTTCTAGAAACACTTATCAACAGCTCGGTAAACATGAATCGGATGAGATAAAGAATTGAATGAAAACGTCATCAAGAACTTCCAAAAGAACCTACAAAAAGGAAAAACGGCCCAAATGTCACAGCTATACATGCAGCCCAAAATATTTTGAAACTGTCATAAAGGATGCTACATTTATGTTTTTAATAGCGTACTTTTGACTTTTGACTTTGGAATAATTTCGGCTTTTGACATCAGCAAAACGCTTTGGGCTGCGTGTATAATCTCACAGCTGAATCGCAAATAAAAAACACCAGGAATACCAACAGTTGTGTATAAGGATTAAGAATTTAACGGAAGCATATATCTTATATAGGCAATGAATACAATTTTTTCGGTTAGAAAACTATTGACCACCTTAAAAAACAACTTGATTCTTGTCAAAGAAGGTTCTGACTGAAAAGTCAAGCCAATGGAGATAAGCCTACTGTGAGGTGTTAAATAGAAGTGATATAGCAGGAACTGGAGGGACCAAGAACAGTCATTCTTGAGATTATTCTTGAGGGACCAGTATCACAGTGAGTCTCGGTTTAATTTATCCGTTAAACCGAGAGATCCGCAAAATCGAAACTTAATAGTTAAAACATCTCGATCACATGAATCTTGTATATGGGATCGTGAGATCTCGGTCATATAAGAATCTAAGATAAAATAGTTAAGATAATCAAGAAAACAAGATAAAAATAGTTGAGAAATAACCAACAATTTAATTAACAAGATATCTCAATCACATCAATCATAAGGTCAAGAAACAATTAATTAATATTAATAAAACGTCACGATCACATGAATCATGTAATATCATAAGATAAAAATGGTTAAGATAATCACATATAGATCGTAAGATAAAAACCGTTCAAGGCATCGAACCAAGCACGAGGAGGTTAGCGTGTAGTCACATATAATGCGATTAAATTCGTAGAACGTCTAAATCCTTTTTTGTAAAATGTTTTTCCTAAATCATTACAATATTAGATTTTGAAAAATTGATTACACCGATTTTTATTATTTTACGATTTGTGTACCTGAATTATGATGATTCGGCATGACGGTTTACGATCTTTACAACTTTAGTAATAGGTTGTATGCCATGATGATTTACGACCTATAGATATATTGTAGGCGTGTGATCCGAGTTATTTATTACCAAGTCACCAAATCTGGCAACTAAACTAAAATCATTATATACAACTATACTGCTTGAGTGGGTTTCTATTTGAATAAGGTTTATTCGAATTATTTGTTTTATTCGTTATGAATTAACATACGAATTACATCGAGAGTTTAATCGAATAAAACGAATAAAAACGAGCGATAAAACAAATAATTCGAATAAAGCGAATAATTTAAATGATCCGAATAAAATGATGATAATATAATTTTATTATTCAGTTATTATTAAAATTTAATATAAATTATTTATATATTATATAGCATTATTAAGATATATTGATAAGCACACCACTTTGACTGGGTCTCGCCCGATCCACTGACAGAAATTATACCAACTCCGTTATACCGACAGGACGTTATTCTGACAGAACGTTTTACCGACAAGTCATTTCATAGTGCAATTAATAAATCTAGCCGTCTAATAAATGGCTTAACCACTTAAACAGCCTAGCCGTCTAATAAATGGTTTGACAGACTTGAACAGATTAGCCAGCTAATCGGCTAACATCATCAGATATATTAATATTAAATATGTCATTTCTTAATATTAACGGATAATGATAATGAACTGATATGGTTATGGTAGAAAAACGTCCTGTCGGTATAACGACTGTCGGTATAATGTCTGTCGGTGAATCGGGGTAAACCCCTTTGACTTGTTAATGTTACAAAAAGTGAAAACATTGATTTAAAAAGGCAAGAAAATAAATAATACCGCAATACAATCTATTACATTTATTTTTTTGTCAAAAACCACTATTTTAATGTGCATATTTGACATCCAAATTTCAAAGTAAAATAAAAATATGACAATTATATAATATCACTATTAAATATAAGTAACCAATTAATCCAAATATTTATATCCATTATTAGATGAAAAACTATAAATATGGTAATTTATAACATAATAGTGTTGATGTTAATATTGATATTAAATTTTAAAATTAATAATTGTTACATTATTATTGCTCACTTTATTGGAATTCACAGGTTGAAAAAGGCTTGTAAACTTTAATAATGTGCTAGTATAAACAGCATTTGGATTAATTGTTGCAATAATTGTTGAAGGACCAAATTTTATTTCATCCATTTCATCAAACACTTTTCTAACTGATTCTAATTCATCCTTTTGTTCTTTTGAATATCTATCTATTATATCATCTGAATCAAATGAATCATACCAAAAATCAATAATATTAAAGATTTCTCCAACAGTTGGACGTTTATCTGAATTATCATTCATGCATCCGAATGCTAGTTCAATATAGAATTTTGGAATAAAGACACTTGCTGTAAATGATTGGACTGGTAGATACCATTGCCGTAAATAACTGCTGGTAGCCACCATTTGCCGTAAATAATTATGGTTGCCGCAAATAGATACAGCTACCGCAAATAACTACGACTGCCGAAAATAACTACGATTGCCGAAAATAATTACGATTGCTGGAAATAGTTTTCAATTATTGTCATTAGCATTATTGGTCATTATTAGTCATGCGAAAATTTTTGTGATCTGCAGTAAATGAATTTTTTTGATCATTCTTATTGGTCAATTTAACGATCAGCAAAGTAAAAACAGTCAATCGACCAACTTTTAAAAAAGATTTTACAAAAACCACAAGATCAACAACCGGGATTTTTATTTACAGATTAATCGGCTGAATCTCAACGATCATTTTCGTATTAGAAAGTGACGCCCTCGGAAAAATTTTTTATATCAGAAAAATTTTATCGGCTATCAATAGCTGATTAGCCGTTTAAGGGATAATAATAGTTACCATTGCCGCAAATAACCAATTATGGCAGATGTCTTTAATCAAAAGATGATGAGATGCCTAATTGAATCAAAATTAAGTTATGTAATGTCAATCAATAGCAACCCTTTTTTTTAAAAATAAAAAAAATATATAAAATTCTAACAGAGCATTCAACTAAAGAGATACCAAGGGTAATATATCAAACTTTAGGCTATAGAGAATTTTTTTCTTGCCAAATAAAAAAAAAGTTTTTTTATTATATTCTAGGGAAATTGAAAAAAGATTGCTAATAGAAAAACTTTATAACGAATGAGATGGGGAAAAAAGCAGACTTGAGCAATGAAATCATAAAAAGTTTTATTATGAAAAAAAAAAGTTATCATTGTTTAAAGTTATTCAATTTATTATTAAATTTTACCATAAAAATTTACATTGTAACTGATAAATTTCTTTTTATAATTCAAAAAAACATATTCTTGTTGAATTTCGTTGTGGAATATATGATAAAGATACTAATACTAAAAAATCCGCGCTTAATAAATGTCACACGACTATAATTAAAAATTCTGTTTAGAAAAAAATTTATTATTATTATTTCTAATTTTGTGTAATCTACCGAAAATCGCGATAAAATTTATAACCGACTATAGATTTTAATCCAGATAGAGTTAACTTTGTTTGACAAATTCTTTACTTTTTCACATTAACAATTCATTGAATTCTTACAACATGTCAAAATCCAACAACTCACCCAAGGGTGGTGTTGTTGTCATTCGGGTAAGAAAATCCATATACTAAAAAGTTTCTTAAATTAATATATATATATATATACATATGGCGGTAAAAGGTTTTGACAATGTTTCTCTTTTACAACTTAGTTTAATGCCAAATGGATTGCTCATGCACATACAATAATAGCATATGGTAATTATATATAATGGTTCATAATTATGGACATAATTTTAATCAGTTTCTTTTTATTATTAGTCGCGTTTTTTTCTGCATTAATTTTGGCCTGTTGGACTCACTATTATCAAATTGTTAAAAATGAGTATTGGGGTTACCCAGAGGTTGGTAATTTTGTTTTTTTTTTTAATTTAACAAAATATTTATCATGTTATATTTTTATTAGGAATGGTTTCCAAGTGTTAGTGCTGTTACAGGTGATTGGTATCCAGCTCGATCTATTTTTCAAATTTTAATTGCAATAGCATCAGGTAAATTCTTGTTATAATTACATTAAAATTTTTTTAGTTTTAACCAGTTAGATGTATTGATAAAATAACAAATTCTTTAGGTCCTCGTTTTTTGTTGATTTATTTATTTTATATCATTACAAACAAATCTGATAGTTTATACCCCAAAATACATGCAATTATTGGATTAATACGTACCATTTCATGTGGAGGTTGGGTTTATATCACATCAACAGATGATCATGATATACATGATGTAGCCATGATAGTGTACTTAGTTACAACTTTGCCATGGATGGTGGGTTCATTGTTAATTGGACCAAAAAGTAACGGAGAAATTAAATGGAGGAAACTTTTTTCATTTTCATTTTTTGGAAGTTTGGTTCCTATGATATATTATTTTATTGAACATAAAGTTAATCGTGTTGCTGGTGGTAACTATATGTTTTTATTTATTACTGATTAGATTTTATTATTCTCTTTATTAAGATCTATCTAAATATACAAAACTAGCATACACAACATATGCATTTCTTGAATGGTCTTTGATTATTTATGATATTGCATTTGATGCCATAACTTTCTTGGACTTTAATTTTTTTGAATTGCAAATAATTAATGCAGGTCTTCAACAAGAGTATGAAGTATTTTATTTTTTGAAATAAATATATATTTTTTAATAATTTATTAATAATTTTATATTAGGTCTTTTGGAATCACCACAACCAAAATTTCAAAAAAGGAAAGGAGCAGGTATTTTAAAAAAAATTTTTTTTTTGTTTTCGATCCCTAATTGATTATAAAGTTTTTTTCAGTAGTGATGAAATTGTCTTTAAAGTTGATTCCTGGAGCAATGCAAAAGGATTTATTGCAGACACCTATCTTGGTATGCTAATTTACACATCAAAAAATCAATTTGTTTTATTGTTTGTCTGTCACTAATAATACTTTGTGATTTTTACTGTAATTACAGCTTTTATTTACTGGTCAATGTTGACTTCGCTTGGACTCACTATTTGGTATTTTCCCTTATGGCATATGGGTATTTCAGGATATGAAGCTTTTTTGCTAGTCACAACCACGCCTGGCTTACTTGGTTTTACTTCTATAAGAAACATAGTTGCTTCAAACCATGGAGTGTTTCACCTTCTTTCACTATGTGGTGTTGCATCATATTTGTTCACTGATCCAACTCAACGTCTTTTAGTTACTTCATTTGGAGTAGCTATAACAAGTATAACATGGTCATCTATATGGATTGAAAGTAGAAACAGTGCTAGTCTATTAGAACGTAATTCACTAACATGGTGTTTAGGACTGATAATGAGTAACGTTGTTAAAATGGCATGGCGAACTAATAATCCTATTTGGCCAATAATGCATAAAGAAAATGGAGGATGGAATGGACTAGGACTTATTTTAGGTGTTATAGCCTCTTTGGAAGTTATGTCTCGCAATAAAAAAAATAGAGTTGTTGACTCAAAACAAAAGTCAAAATCATCATTAGCTTGGATTTCTTCCGCAATAGGATTTGGATCCCTTTTATTTGCACTTCATTCATTACTCACTGATACTTCTACAATTACTCGATGGGTGTACAATGGTTATCCAAATACTGGTCCTTTACCGATGCCATGGGGTGCTGTGATTATTGTTGCCATGTCTCTCGGTCTAGTTCTGTCTCCATATCGCAAAATAATTATAGGTATACCTTGGTATATTATTGGATGTGTGTCTTGTGCTTGTCTGTATTATTATCCTGCTTGGAGCGGATTTTTTGGAGGTCTTTTGCTTTCTATATATTTAATGTCATTGGTTCCTACCTTTATTGGTTCTTTAGTAAATCATCCTCCTGGAAGAACTTTCTTTATTTCGATGATGATATATAATATTCTTTGCCTGGGACATGTATGGGTAGTTGCATATGCATTTGTTCCGGCGGGAGAATACCTTCGTGAACATACAGATTATATTCTATTAGCAATGATGATGTTTATTGGAGTTGGTTTATGGAATTCATCAGGAAATTTTAAATTTAAACATTTACAATTGCATAAAATACATTTTAATACTAGAGTTGGATTAGCAATTATGATTGTGTCAGCATTTATAACAACTTATTCACGTATCCCTTTGGATGCTCCTAAGCCATATCATCCAGAACATAAAATTGTAACAGCAGGAATATGGACAATACATTTTGCCTTGGATAATGAAATGTGGGCGAGTGAGTATAGGATACGTGATATTATAAAAGAGTTGGAGATGGATATTATTGGTAAGTTTTGTTTTTTTTTTTTTTTTTAAAAATTAATTAAGACTTGGATTTAATGGATTGTGTGTGATTATTTAATCATCTTATATTTCTAAAAAGGATTATTGGAATCTGATCTTAGTAGAATAATAACGGGAAATCGTGATTTTACACAATTTTTATCAGAAGAGCTTAACATGTATGCTGATTATGGGCCTGGTCCTTCAAAACACACATGGGGTTGCGCAATGCTTTCAAAGTTTCCCATAATTCGATCAAAACATCTTCTTCTTCCATCTCCAGTCGGTGAACTTGCTTGTGGTATATATGCCACTTTGGATATTTATGGACAAGAGATTGATGTGATAGTAAGTCATAATGGACAGGAAGAGGATGAACTTGATCGTAAATTACAAACAACAGAGCTAGCAAAGATCATGAAGGAGAGCAAAAATCCATTATTATTCTTAGGATATGTAGTAACGACTCCTCATCAAGGAAACTACCACATCTTAATTGATGAGGGTAATGTTAAAGACATAGACCCTACAGATCATGATCGTTGGTGTCAATATATTGCATACAGAGGAGTTAAAAGATTAGGATATGCACGTGTAAGTCATGGTGGTATTACGGATACTGAAATTCAATTGGGTAAATTTCAAGTGTTAGATAAATACGACTCAGTTAATTGGGGCACAAACGATACATCAATTAATGAATCCGATGTCCCGCATGATTCAAGGTTTCCACCAATATTTAAAGGTGCGGGAGTACGTGGTCATCGATATCATGTTTTTAATGAGCCTCGTTATTTTAATTAGAAACATAGAAGAGATCTTAATAATTTCATAATGATACACGTAAACAAACACATGACTACATACATACATACACATATATATTTCATATAAATATTATAATTACTAATATTCTTGGTTTTTATCATAAATTTAATATTTTTCAACATTAAATATAGCCAATTTTATTATACATATATAAGATGATTGATTGACTAAAGCCAGTCAATGGTCGCCTGTTTTCATTTGCTTCCATATAAGTTGCAATGAAATGAATATTTCTAGAGGCATTGATATCTCTATTCCAATGCAGAGGACTGTCCATCAATCTTTTCTTGCATATGTTCTATGTCATCATCATGTTACACTTTGAAGTTCTAAGCTCAGGGATCTTCAAAATTACGAGACGGCCAAGATGCTCCAGACGACAAAATTTCTTATAAAGAATTCTACATACATCTGCCTGTTTTTCTTTTCATGCAAACATTAAACATTGCATCACTAAATCCAACGATTATTCTTTTGTTGGGATCATAGTTTCTTGGTGATGCAAGTCTCCATTTTTTGGCTGGTGGCACTGTATCGGAAGTGGTGGAGGCAGTGACAGTTTGTGTTGGCCATGATGATTGCATTTGAGATAATGTGGCTGTATTGGTTGTAAGGATTGTATCATTAGTTGTGGTGGTGATTGAATTGGTTGTGGTGATTGAATTGGTTGTGGTGATGGTGGATATATTTTTTTACTTTTATTCTGTAATTGCTCTTTGCCTTTTACGATAAATTTTAAATCGTAATTCCTCCACTTTTCATCATCAAAATTGGTCAAAGCGATATACACTACATTGGACAAAAGTCAGTCATACTTTTAAATTGCATAAAAACGTACTTGATGATAATTAAATAAAAACCACCATTTGCAACTTTGATTCATTAAATTATATATGCAAATTTCACATCTCTTACATCTTTATTAAACTAGCGATTAAATTTTGTCCAAAAATTTTTTGACGATTATTTTCTCCAATACAATGTTTGTTTGATGGTCTTTCTACTAAATGTCCAAAAGGTCAGCTGGTGTCATGTAAAGCTGGGCAGGAACAAAAGTGGAGACATGCATCAAAGGAGTGTGTAAAACTATTTAGCAAGTACTTTTTTTGTTATGTAATTATCACGAAATTTTTAGATAGATCGATCCACATAATACCACATAGGTTTGCTTAGAAACATGTGGATCGAACTATGTGGACAAGTTTCCATATAGATCCGCATATTTTTATTAAGAAATCACATGTATGTGGAAATCATGGGTCAAATTTTTCGAGATAATATGTGACGAACCTTTTCAGAATCCGTATTACTTGATGATATCTTCAATTTTTTAATATTACTAATAAATTTTGACTATAGTTTATGTATAACAGTCACAATATATTGATATAAAATACTAGTCAATTAAAATATACAGAATAGAGGTTTATTGCATATTTATGAATTTGCATTATACTCTAATATTTAAAAAATCATCATTAAAAAAGGAAAGAGTTCACAAAGAATATTCAAAGTATGGCACAACGTGGACTAGATATCAATCGATTCTATGGAAATTATATCATATTCATCAATTAACTTTATATATGGAAACCATATTCATATGCAAATCTTCTGACTTGTATTTAAAGTCAAATCATTGAACTACTGCAGGATCCATTGTCATAGACCCTTCATTTAATAAAATATTAATAAAACCTATAAAAAAGATGATTAATTTTATTCATTCATATAATTAAATAATTTGTGTACTTAGCAAAGCACAATCCATCTGCTGTTGCATGTGTATCACTCTCATCTGTACTTATTTTTATTGCAACGTCAGAAAAATAAGGATGGCGATAATGATTACTTTTGTCATATATTTTATCACCAATAAATAGACCAGGTTGCAGAATGAAAGAATTGGGTTTAGTAAGTTGGGTATTGTATATTTACAAATCTTGTTTTAAATTTTAGTTAAACTTACAAAAAGCAAACATGAAGAACATATCATTGATGATGATAATATTATACACGTACATGGGATGGTAACTGTTTTGCCAAAAACGTAATTACGCGCGACGGAATTAATTACTATTACGAGCGACGAAATTAAGTGACGAAATTAATTACGAGTTGACGAAACTGACGAAACAAATTTTAAACCTTTTCAATTTTTGTTAAACCATAAACAATATCATTTTAACGAAAAGTTGTTATTTTATTTATTTTATTATCCTAAAACGATGTTCTTTAAATATAAAAAAAATACATATTGAATATTGTTTGATTTTTATTTAATTCACTTGTAAAAATAATTTTACACATAATAATTAAATAAATCCTTGGTTCTGCTATAAGAACACATTTGTAAATAAACAGTAGGGTTTAATTGTCCATTTGGTTATCAGAGTGGTATACTTTGAGGTTTGGTTTATTTGATTTGGTATAAAGCCAAGGTTTTGACATTGATTAACCAGTGTAGTGTTAACAACGGATTGTATAGACTTTGATTTCAAATATATAGCATTTATTTTGATACGAGTCACTCCTATTATATAAATTTACTCTCGTTATAATGATATCCACTATTTATCCCATTATGCTAGTATGATTCAAATTTTTTTATAGAATTTATTCCATTATAATGACACTCATTATAACAACATAACCGGGAAAAACCTCACAATTACTCAACTACAAAAACATTCTTGATCCAAGACCATCGGATGCAAAAAATTTATAGAGAGATGTGAGACCCCTTTCAAATGGTCATATAGATCAAAAAATTTATTTCATTGAAATTAAGGATATATATATATAATATGGTGCAGTAAACAAACAGTCCTCAAATTCTATTTTTTTGCAATATTTCAGATAACTCATCCTTTGTAGCATATAGAAACCATACAACATTTCAGTTTATTACCAGGTATATTTACCTCCATTACGAATTTTAGGCCTAATGAATTTAATGTTCTTGACACTTGATTTTTACCAAGAGGGGTATCTGTTGTTTGAGCATATTTGTTGTAGAGCTCTATAAAAGTTTTATTTATTCCTTGGGGTCCCAAGTAATTGGATCGTAAGTGCCTGTAAAGATACATTTCTCTCCTAAGTTTAGATGGATCACAACCAATAGGATCATTGATAAAGCTCAATATCCATAGTTTGATATATTGCCATGGTTCTCGAACATTTTTTTCCAGAATTTCTGGGAATCCTTTTGTGGTTACCTTAGCCTGATATCTAGATTCAATGAGGCGCGCGCCAAGCATTTCTTGGATCTAATAAGCTCATTTAAATCCACAATCTTATTTTTGATAATGCAGGAAAACAAAGAAATATTATAATAAACTGATAGAATGTATCGGAAAATGTCTTTTCAGGGAAACATCTACCACCTACTACAAGGAAGGTTTAAATTAAAGCTCTTCATGAGCCAACTCATGCATAGGGTTCATATTCACGGATACCGTAAGAAGGTCATACAGAGTCACACTATTTTAAATCAAGTGGTCAACGTATCTCTTTAAGGAATTTTTTGCTGTTTTAATAGTGTGTAAACCCTTAGTAGTATTCACGGTATCCGTGAATGCAAACCCTACTCATGCAGAATTTATTTAATATAGATTGGTAAAATATATAAAATAAATAAAAATAATAACAAAAAGATCAATGTAAAATTCCAATAATTAGATGAATCTAAATAATTAAATCCATTAGATGAGAAACTATAAATACAACGTAACAAAAATAATATTAATGTTGATGTTGATGTTGATGTTGGATTTTAAAATTAATAATCAAATAATTGGTGATAATTACCATTATTATTATCAATAATTGTAACTTTATTGGAGTTTACAGGACGAGGAAGATTTGTAAAATTCAATAATCTACTTGTATAAACAGCATTTGGATGAACAGTTGCTATAATTGTTGAAGGATTAAAAGGTCTTCTATCTGCTTCCCGAAATATTTCTCTCACTGCTCTTAATTCACCAAGCCGTTCTTCAGAAACCTTCAGTCTATAAATAAATGCATCTTTCCAAAAAGCAACAATATTTAAAATTTCGCGTGCTGTTGGTCTTTGTTCAGGATCAGCATTTGTACATTTGTATGCTAATTCAATATAACATTTTGGAGTATTATATGAAAAACTAGGCCTTAAGCCATCACAGATTCTACAAACAAGATCTCGATTATGTGGTCGATCATTAAAAGGCTGCTGATAAGTTGATATTTCTGACATTAAAATTCCAAAACTATAGATGTCAGATTCTCGTGTATAAGGTCTCCTATTTAAAACTTCTGGTGCAACATATGGTAGCACTCCAAATATATCATTGTTATTTGGTTCTTGATCGGCAGGGCCTGATAACCCTAAATCTGTAATCAATACTTTATAGGGTAAATCAAAAAAATATAAAATATTACCACTGTGAAGGTCACGATGTATAAGTCTGTTTTGATGTAGGGTGCTTAAACCTGAGATAATGTTATAAAGCATTCCAAGTCGATCACTCCATTTTGTATACTCTGATTTCACTGATTCTATATGATTTCTAAAACTTCCATCAGCTGCATATTTCATTATTAGAACATATTGGTTTGTATCAGGATTTTGTGAAATGCCATAAATATGAACTATACCATTATGTTGTAATCCTGTAAATTTAATATGATTTTGAAGCTTTTATGAAGATTAAAAAAATTAATATACTATTTAAAAATCATTAATTGTCAATTATTTATAATAAATTATTTACCTCATTTAAAAACTCATCAGAAATATTTTGTGAATCTTTTAACTCTTTTAATGCCACATTACCATTGCTACAATAATATCTTTTATTCTGATAAACAAATCTAGGGCCATTTGACCAGTAACACTTATATACAGTTCCAAAACCACCCTGACCTATTTTTTTTTCAATTGTGAGTTGGTCATAAGGAATCCATTCAAGGTAATAATGACTATCAAATCCCTTCGCTTTAAGCTGTGTATTTCTAATCATTCTATCTAATCTTTCATTACCACTACTAGTCCAACTTTGAGCCAACAATCCGGGATCGCATTTTTGACACCATTGGTAATTGGTATTGTGTTTTGCACATACAGTACAGGTTCCATATTCTCTGTTTTTTGCACCATTAGGCCACCTTCTAGTATTATCTGATTATTTTCAATAATTATTTTTTCATTATAAAAATAGGCGTCATTCTTAAATAAAGATAATTTTATATTATAAATATTTTACCTTCAATTGTTAGTTATTATAAAGAAATAAAAATAAATTTATTCAATTAGATAATTATTATTTTGTGTTACAAAAGATAATTTGGGGCATGCTGCAACAAAACCAGACAAAGTGAACATTGGTATTACCAAGAATTTCAGGGACCAAAGTTTAGTCATC